GTTAGTCTCACCAAACACCTGTTCACAAGGAAACAAAATATATAGATTCCATGGGTTCTTTGATTTCTCTTATAAGTGTGCTGAACTCAACCTTTGAGTACTAAGAGAGATAAGTCATTATCAACCAGCAGTTGAAATAACAAACCCACCCACCTTCTGAGCTGAACAGAAACTTCCCAAAGCTTTTGAGGTCAGAGTAAATGTGTACAAATGTTATTCGAGTTGGCCTTGATGGGGACAAAGTTTATTCAGTGTAGAGATCCATTGCCACATAACATTTTGAACTGTTTTATGTATCCTGGCTATGTACAGTGAGTATTTTTTATCATAATACTTAGTTTTTAACTCTGTAGTTTATCCTTCTAGATTGATATGTAGATTCAGCCATCAAAGAGAATGAGCTGTGAACAACCTTCATGTTTTTATTGTGAAGGGAGATTCATTTTTCAAGAGAAATCTCAGTAATTAATAATGGGAGCTCCTTGCCAGAACAGGAAGATTACATGTTGGCAGTTCTAGCTTTACATTTCCTACTTACTTGGTAAAGGTTTTATAATCCTCTTGATTTTGTCTTGTGTTTTACCAAACATATTACCATTTATAAGTATTTATACTGAACTATTTTAAAGTTTGTCTACTGTGGATCTTCTATGTTCTGATCAGTACATTTTTACATAGCATTCTTTAATTATATATGTTTTCATTCTTTACCCAAGCAGCAAAATATTACGTATTGATGTGGGTTAATCCTGTACTTGTTACATACGCCTTTTCAACTAGTACAAATAAAAGATTAATTCTAAGAAATAATAAATTAATTTACATATTTTATCTTTTAAAAGTTATTTTTCAAATTTACTATGTGTTTGCCATCTGGCAGCTTAGGCAGGCAGTAATTCTGTGCAAACTGTTTTGCTTTGAGTTCAGGGTGCTGTCTTAAAACTAGGTATTTCAAAGCACCTTACCAGATATACTGTTCTGAGTACTGTGTATATGTAAGGGATCTTCTAAACTTTTGAGATAGTTCATCTTAGAATGCTATCAGAAACAAACATCTACATCAAGCTATATAAAGAAGAATTTTATTTAAAACATATATAAAGGTTATATTGTATCTAGTAGAGCTTCATGAATGACAGTCAGTGGGTAACACAAATAGCTAGCAGGTGTAACACAGTTATTTCTGGATAGTATTTACTCAAAAGAAGCAAACTCACATTGCAAAGAGAACTCACAGGATTCAGGCTGTTAATATCTCTTTCTTGGACCAAGTTGCTTGAGTTCATGATAGCATAGATGTCGGCATGGGTTTTTATGAAAACTTGTGCAATCCCTCTTGCTTCTTTAAACAGAGCCATCTGTAAGGAGTGCTTTGATTGTATTTTTCTGCATGGCAGGAAGTTGAATGGCCTTTCCAACTCTATGGTTTTATGATACTGCAGTGGCTTGGATTAAGATTGCAAGAGGTGGCAGGGTTTGAGGCAACGTTTTGAGGTTCACAGGTGCTAACGGAGGAAAGAGTGAAAGTAGAGAGTTGACAAATAGTGAGGGAAGCTGATAAATCTCTTTCCTGACACAGAAGAAAAGGTGAAGAAGGACATTTAGGAGCTGGTACCACACAGAGAAAAGCCTCCCTGAAAAATATATTTAAAGGGGATAAAGATGACCATTTCTGAAGATGGGCTGAGTGGTGCTGTAGGCCTGATGGATCAGTGAAAAGAAAGGCAGAATAAATGAACTAAAAGTAGTTTAGGAGAGAGTTAAAAAGCTAACAGGATTTTCTGTCCAATATTTTGGATGCTGGTTATTTGAGAAAACTAGTGGGTAATTTCAGGTAATCCTAGAGTAGTGGTTCTCAACTCATGAGTCCCCAGGTGTTTTGGCCTACACCTCCCAGAAAGCCCAGCCAGTTTACCAGCTGTTAGGACTTCTGGGAGTTGAAGGCCAAAACATCTGGGAACCAGTCCTAGAGTCTCATGCTGCAGCGGATTCATCTAAAAAGAGAGCTACTCAGATCCAAGGAGGAGACATAAGCCTTTTAAAAGTGCAGGAAATAGGATGCAAACCTAGTTTTATCACAAAATTAGCTTTGCTGGTCATGTGTCAATAGATGGTGGAAAGAAAATGCTGAAGTTTTGCCTTTCCTCAGTCAATATTTCACACCTTAAAATTTATCTTAAAGCTCTTGTATAATTTTGCCAAATGTAGTCATGAGGACAAAAGAATAACTATAACTCACTAAACTAAGATGGAAGAAATTATTGTTTTATTGTAATAAAAGAGACAAATGTGGAGCGGATCCCCATGTATCAAAGGTATCAGTGTGAATTTCCTATTTGTAAGCATTGTTTACCAGGTGCAAAATTTCTGAATGGAATGCCAAGTTAATGCTGTCTGCTGTACCACAGCAAAGATCATTGACTGTAAGACATTTACTCCACAAATATGTGAAAACTGTTCATCTAGACCAGTGATTTTTAACCTGTGGGCCACCAGGATGAAAATCTGGTCTGCGAGCCTCCTTCCTCTCTGTTTGTTTGTTTGTTTTATCTTTTCTTATTTCCACTCCTTTCAGCCACCTTCCACTCCTTCTCTGTTGCTGACCATGACATAAGTTCTGTAACAAGAGCTGATATGGTCTATCCAATGCAATTTTCTGAATCAGCATCTCAAACGGAATCTAAAGTTGACCAAAAATTGTTTTGTAACCTTTTTGGTGCTAATGTTGATGAGTGATCCTGGTTAAAGTGGTCCCTGGCCAAAAAAGATTGGGAACCACTTAACTAGATGTAAGGCTTTTCTTTATAAGCAATTTCTATCTACTTCAGACAAGCCCACTAATAACAAGCTATGGATCGTTCACACGTTAATCTTCTTTGGATTAAACTGCCACTAGTTCATCAGTTTTATCAATTAGTAAAAAGGTCTCTCCAACAGTCTGGAGATCATTCTGAGAAGTCTAGGGATGATGGCCTTAAGTGTCTTGTGTTCAACTCTGCCATTCTTAGACTTTTGTTGCCAGTTTCAGCTGTTGAGGTAAAGGTTCAATCCCATATTCAGACCACCCTTTATCCAGGTCACCATCTCCTCAGCTACATGTCTCATATTATGCTACTCAGTCAGACTGGGTATTGATTTTTAATACAATGCAATCTATTTATTTTATTTATTTGCGGTATTTCTATACCGCCCATCTCAACCCAGAAGAGGACTCAGAACGGTTCACAGTGTTGGCAACAATCTAATGCCATTGATAAAAAACAGTATAAAACATCAACATTGACTCTCTCCTGATAAGACATTAAACATTATTAAACATACCACATTGTTGGGACTCAGCTGGTGTTTGAGCCTGAATCTGTGATTGTGTTTCCCCCTCCTAATGTTTCTGGGTTTTATTTTGGATAGTGAGCCGATGTGATCAATGAGGATGAGGTACAAAATGGAGACACTTTGGACAATAATGTTACTGCAGACACTGATCAAGAGGGGTCAGGGGAAAGGCTAAGTTGTCATGAGAAAGTTTCTGTCAAAGCAAGGGAAGATAGTTTACTCCCTTCTCCAGGCTCGAATTTGCAAGATAGCATGACACCTGGTGGAGCTAATGAGGAGATAGTGAGGAGACCAGTTACTGGCTGGAAATCAGCCAGAACCGTCAAGAGGCCCAATGTTTACACAGGTCAGAAAGAATTCAGCAGTTAAGGCCAAAAACTGGGGGGGGGGGAGTAGAAACCAATTTTCGGGACTTAAATTGGGCCCTTAGAGAATCTTCTTCAGATCAGGCATCGTTTGGAATCAAGCTCAAGTCTCCTGGAAATTCCTGTTTCAAGTGGCCTCGTCTCTAAGGATATATCTAGCTTTTCAAGTGGATTAGCAGTGGATAGTCTGTTCATGGTTTTCTATTTAAGGCTTTTGGTTATTCACTGCATTTGGATCATTTCTGCAAGCTCTTTGGACATTGTTACTAGTCCTATGTTTGGACACTGCTTATCTTGCTGCTTTATTTGGTTTTTTGCTTTTGGACTTCTACCTATTTTATAATCATGTCTTTTATTGGCTCCAGTTATTCTTGAATAAAAAAGGATTCTTCCTTCATTCAAGATGTGGTGTGATTAATGATTAGAGGGCCCTGTTCCTGATCTAGGGTGCAACACACATATCACACAAAGACATAGCACAGATCTATTCAATCTGTTCAAGTCTACAAGAAAACATCTTTCAAATTGTATATCAGTGGTATCTTACCCATGTAAACTATCCAAGAAAAAATACCCTCTTTTGGAAATGTGGTCATTCAAAGACAAATTACTTGCATATCCTTTGATTTTGCAAAAACAAACAAACAAAAACCCCACACAGAAATGTTTGTGTTGGGTTGGATATGGTTCAAGAAAATATGGAGCATTCACCCACCCTCTAATATAGTCCTTTTGGGATTTTTGAAATCTGAACGAACAGATTTTAAAAGTTACTGTATAGTTCTGAGTACTGCAATAATCTCTATTTGTAACTTATTCAGTAATTGATTGCAGAATGAATAGCATGTGGTTGAATGGATTAAGATAACATAGAAGAGAACAACAGTTACCAACAGGAGAACAGATTTATACAATGATGGATACTGTTTTTAATTTACAGAATAAAAAGGTTACTGGTGCAGTTTGTCCACTTATGTTTATATGTGAAATTATGAAAAAATGAATGGTTCTTGTTTCATTTTGTATCTTTTTATTCTTTCTTTTTAAAACTATTTTAATAATTCTAAAATAATGTCAATAGAAACATTTGTAATTATGATAGGCATTACTAAGGTTTTTCCTTAATATTTGTTTTATTGCTTTCTAAAAAAGTTTTTGAGTTTATTAAATGAATGACATGAAATTCAAAAAGAAGTGCAATGATGATGAGATAAAATTATTATAATTAAATATGTGATAAAAAATGTTATCTGAGCTTTAATTTTTTTAAATTATCAAATCTGATCTTTGGCTGTTTTTCAGATAGAGGAACCCAGTGTTGAAATGTCTTAGTTTTGCACTTTTGAACCTGCACTGAATGTCAGTTTAGTTTATCGAATCTGTAGAGCAAGCCTGTGCTCAAGAGGACATGGGATACTGCTCTGCCTGGAACAATGATCAGGTATCAGAATAAACCCTAGATTTAGAATGGAAATAATATTAATATGCAGAAATTATTGTTCATTGCATACATTAAAACATTTTAAAAGAGATTTTATTTTATGGTCTCCACTCTCAGAATAACTCTCTACTAAATTATGGACTAGAACAATTTTCCAGTCCATTGCTTCTTCTGTCTCCCAAAAACTACTTTTTGCTTAGCTTCTTTTTAATTGGTAAAATAAAATCCCTATTCTTCATCTCCCCTTTTCTAGTTCTAGGCTATTTCTGTATAATTAATCATTCCTTAATAAGATAGGAAAAATTATCCTAGGCACCTTTTTCTTCTATGTCAACCATTTTATCTTATATCAACAACAATTATTTTGAATTATATTATAGCAGTGATATTGGACAATTGACATCAGCACTTACATGTATGAAAATCGGGTTAGGGACAACTTGTCTTCCATTGTAACTTACTTTCCTTGTTACAATGGCCCTCCTGTTTATTAATGGTCCATGCCAGTCTCTAGTCTGTACAGTGTTCCACATTTTGCTAGAATCAGATGATAATCTAAGGAACATGAATTGATATTGTTTTCCAGTCCATTGTTCCTCCTCCTTCACCAATAATCTCGCTGTCTGCTACCACAGAGTTTTGGAAAATTCCTTTTTTAAAGACTGTAGCTCCCAAATTCTGGTTGCGTCATATGGAAGTTTCATAGAATTGTAGTAAAGAAAAGCTGACATTTTAAAGCTCTGTCATAATCTGTTTCCTTGAGATTTATGACATCTCATCTTATAACCTTCTCAATCTTATGAATACTGACTGAGATGCCAACCATAAATGAGTCTATGGCACCTTTGGGACAATTACATTATTTTCAAGGAGTGAATAACAGATACAGGTTCTAAAGAAACAGCAAATGGTTTGCCAGTGGCAAGGAAGGGTTTTTATTTTCTTCATATGTAGTATCTTGTTTTTTGTTTCTATATAAAGTTTGTTGTAATAGATGATGGCGACGAACGAGCAGCTCCTAAGATAAGCTCCGGAATTTGCTCCTGGAAATAGCTGTTTTTCCACAACTCCCCCAGGATTTATAACCCAAAATGACATCCAAGGGTAAGAAAAGGTCCCGGACCAGCCCCAGCAATGGAACAGGGTCCCATAAATCACCAAAAGCACGGAAACAGATGAGAATTGATGCTTACCTTCCAAACTCTCCGGATATAGCAACAACATCACAAACTGTGAGTAGCGGAGCACTGATAACACCTTCGATAAACTCACTTAATGTGGGTTCCCCCCTCTCTGACCAGGAGACAAGCCCAGGACAAATGCCAGAGGGTAATGGAGATAATGGTCATTTGAACTCTCCGGGGTGCAGCCCCTCCCTAGACCATGATATGCAGAAATATCGGGAGATATGTTTGCTGTCAGTGGAATCAATGATGTTGATTTTGAACAGACTAGGTGAAATCTCACAACAGATTCAAAGGCTACTTGACTTGCATCCCCCACAATGTTTTCAGGGAGTCAAGCCTGCAGAGACGCCCAGGTGCTCACATGCGGAGGACGCTCCTCTGACCACAGCTGCTGTTAATCACAGTAATAAACCAACAGTTGAAACTAAAGCATGCCTCATTCTGCAGAAAACCCAGATAGTTCTGCAGCTCAATCAAAATGCTTTGGGCTGGAACCATAAACAACAAATTGTAAAATCACTGGCTTACTTGCTCAGAACCCAGCCCAAACTTATTGACCTAAAAGATCACCATTTTCTTCCAACACAGAATGGTGTAAAACGAATCCTCCTTACCTTCAACTCCCTTGAGATGTCAGACCGCCTAGCTCAAATGAAGGACATCTTATGGAACAGGCATGGCATAACTATCAGTAGGGTATTTAAGGATCTGACAGTCAATCATCTCATTCCTCGAAGTACTTTGGATACACGGGTACAAGAAAGAAACCTAACACAGTTAACACAGCTCCAAGACAGGAATTGTCACCCAGCAGTTGCTTACATTGATTTGGAACTTAAAGCAGACCCTAATACAGACTCTTCCACGGCTCCTCCCAAGCCAAGCCCCCCCTCTAAGACCGTTACAAAAGAAAACAACAATGACAGAGATCCATCTGTGATTCCAGTAATGACTCAAGTAACAGAAAAGCAGATCAAAGATACTCCTGCAGGTGCTGCTTTAAATATTCCACACACTATGGACTCTCCTCAACCCCAGATGGAGCTTGCCTCTCCACAGGTCATACATAGGTGAGGGCTTGCAGACAGCAAATGAGTTTGGCTCCCTACTCGCCAATGACCCACATTTCATTACTCATGTGGCATTGGTCCATCCAGCCCCTTCACCAGAAGGCCAAGTTTCTTTCTCACCAAACAATGACCCGGACCTGATACAGAAGGATCGTGACCAGGCCATAGATCCCTTGGGACTATGACAGCTACAGGGCCAGCACGGGGTCAGCCTATTGACTTGGAATGTGGCTGGGTGGCTCGCATCCATTAGAGACCATTGTTTTATAGACTTTCTCTCCCACTATGATATTATTCTGATCCAGGAATCTTGGGCAGTAGGTGATCTGATAGCTAATGGATTCCACTCGTATTGTGTAGGGGCAGAGCCAGGAGCTATACATGGAAGAGCAAAAGGTGGATTAGGGATTTTAGTCTCTACCACTTTACGTGCCATAACAAGGCCACTTCCCTCATTAAAAACAACTGCAATGGCAGTGCTAATTCAACTTAAGTATCATACCTTGATGATAATAAAT